CCTTAATCAAATTACTAGTAATTGAGGGAACACCATATTTAACTGATTAATAGATCATTATTTTTGATACAACAGAAGATGGGGATTAAAAAAGCGAATTCCTCACTTTATCTATTTTAGAGACAACAAAATCATAATTGAATAGAAGGCAGCTCCTAAAGTCTGCTACTTCTGTGATCAGGAAGGGCATATAAAAAAAGAATACTCACAATTTAAAGAGTCAGTTGCATTAAGACAATACTATCAAGAGTTCAAAAAAACCTCTAAGACAAAAAACAGAGACTACCTTAGCAAAACAGCTTAAGATATAGAAAGTTTTCCAAAAACTGAAGAGAAAGAGGAATCGAAAGAAGAAGTGATGAATATAGAAATACCTGATGAGCAAAAGATAAAAAATATCTTCTATAGTACAGATGATAAAATAGAAGACACTCAAAAAAAAGCTGAACAAGCAACCACTTTCTCAGAAGCAGAATTTACAACAAAAAATAAGCTTGCATTAAATGGCACATCTTTTAAAGATAATAACAAAGAGAATAACCCTCCTCAAAAGAATACATTGTTAGCAATTCCAATAGAAGAAGACTTTACAACTATATTCTACAAGAGGAAAAAAAAAACAAACAAATCAAAATATATATAAGCAAGCAACAGTAAGACAAGCTCCATGCAAGAAAGGATAAATAAAGAAAAACTCTCCAAAAGCTCAATAAGAGCACATTTATCTTATAATATCTAATGACTAAAGCAATAATTAAAATTGCTACTCTAAATATTAAGGGACTTAATGATCAGAACAAAAGACAAAAAACAATAACACTTTTAAAATCTTATAATTTAGACCTAATACTATTACAAAAAACAAATCTAAACAACCAAGCAACACAAACCTTCATTAAGAAGCAATGGATTTATGAATTAATTTGAACAAACAAGACTACTATTTTGGCAGAAAGAAAAGAAATAAAATTTCAGAATACTAAGATTCTACACAAAGGAAGAGTGATCTTTACAAGCTTCATATACAGAGGTTGATCTTTCTCAGTTATAAATCTATATGCTCCTCCAAATATAAAAGACGGAATGGCTTTCTTTAACAAATAGTCTCCACAATACAAAGAAAATACTATCAATATTCTGGTAGAAGATTTTAATACAAATCTAAACCCAACTATAGACAGAATAAGCCAAGCTGCACTACAAAATGACAATATCAGAACTTAACTTAAAGATCTGATAAAGAACTACATAGACTCTGCAATATATACTAAACAAAAATCTTGTTTCATATTTCACCAAAAGGTCCAAAACAATTAAACAATAGCAACTAGACTTGACTATATCTTTATAGATGAGAACTATGAACATCTTATATCATCTACAAAGCTGCTTTTTGAAAACTCAAACTATTTACTAATCAAATATATTTTGGCTAAAAGACAGAAGATTAATCAACCTTCTAATTGAAGATTTGATAAGAATTCTTTTAAAAATAAACTTTTAAAAAAAGAAATAATAGAGAAAGTCATGTCTTTTGAAGAACTATTAGAGTAGAACCTACAGAAATAGAATTCAGTCAATTATAAGAGCCTTCAAAAAGCCAAAAGCTCCAGAAAACAAGATTTCAAAGATTAACAAAAAACTTATGAAACTTCAGAAACAAATTGCAGAAGAACTAACTAAATCCTTCTTATACTCTACATGTGAGGAGCTTAAATTCTCTATGCAGAAAAAACTGACTCTACTGGCAGACAGATAGCAAATTCGCTCAAAAGCAAGATGGGTTGAACAAAGAGAAAAATCTACAAAATACTTCTTTTCTTACTACAAGTCCTGGCATACAAACTTAGTTTTCTCAATAG